AGCTGGGACTACAGGCATCGCCACCATGCCTGGCTAATTTTTTCATTTTTAGGAGAGATGGGGTCTTACTCTTGCTCAGCCTGGTCTCAAACTCCTGAGTTCAAGCAATTCTTCTGCCTCGGCCTCCCAAAGTACTAGGATTACAAATGCAAGCCACCTCACCCGGCCTTAAAACTACATATTGGTTACTCATTCAGTAAGGCACACTGTAACAACATTGATAAATATATTTCTAAAAATTCTCCACCTAGCAATTCCATTATTTCAACAGAACAATATCAATTGTTTGGTATACCTTTTCAATTCTAGCCACTATGCTTATAGATTTTCACAGTTTTAACCATTGTATAAATATCATTTTAAAAAGTTTAATATGGCTGGGTGCGGTGGCTCATGCCTGTAATCCTAGCACTCTGGGAGGCCAAGGCAGGCGGATCACTTGAGTTCAGGAGTTTGAAACCAGCCTGAGCAAGAGCGAGACCCCATCTATACTATTAATAGAAATAAATTAATTGGCCAACTAATATATATAGAAAAAATTAGCCGGGCATGGTGGCGCATGCCGGTAGTCCCAGCTACTCAGGAGGCTGAGGCAGCAGGATTGCTTGAGCCCAGGAGTTTGAGGTTGCTGTAAGCCAGGCTGACGCCACAGCACTCACTCTAGGCTGGGCAACAAAGCAAGACTCTGTCTAAAAAAATAAAATAAAATAAAAAGTTTAACATTGTGACTACATATTTCCCCTACTGTTTTAAATAACTGCATAATATTCTACTGAGTAGATACATTCTAACTCACAAAACTAATATCAATTGTCGGACATTTAGGTTAATTTCATTTAAAAAATTATTAGCTGTATGTGTGTTAGGCAATCAATACATCTGTTGGAAACATAGAATTGAATCCTTTTTCAAATTAAAAGCCAGACATTTTCTTTACCTTTCTTTCTGAGGTTTGTGCATATCCAAGCCTAGGTCAAGAGACTTTTCAGTGTGCCGGACTGCAGGGAGGGAGCAGTCTGTTATGTCTTCTTGTTGAACTGTACCCTTCACCATTATATAGTGACCTTCTTTGTCTTTTATTACTTTTGTTGATTTAAAAACTGGAACAAGACGACAAGGTTGCCCACTATCTCCACTTCTATTCAACATAGTGCGGGAAGTCCTTGCTACAGCAATCAGACAAGAGAATGGAAGTAAGGGCATCCAAATGAGACCAAGAAGAGATCAACTCTCACTCTTTGCTGATGACATGATATATACCTAGAAAACCCCAAGGATTCAACCAAGAGACTCCTTGAATTGATAAATGAATATGGTAAAGTATCAGGATACAAAATCAATACACAGAAATCAGAGGCATTCATATACGCCAACAAAAGTACAAGAGAGAACCAAATCAAAGACTCAATTCCCTTCAAAATAGCAACAAAGAAAATAAAGTACCTTGGAATATATTTAACGAAGGAGGTAAAAGACCTCTACAGGGAGAACTATGGAACACTGAAGAAGGAAATAGCAGAGGACGTAAACAGATGGAAGAATATACCATGCTCATGGGGCGGCAGAATCAACATTGTTTGAAATGTCTATACTACCCAAAGTGACCCATAAGCAATGCAATCCCTATCAAAATACCATCATCATTTTCACAGATATAGAAAAAATAATTTTACGCTTTTGCATGAACCAGAGAAAGACCCCGTATAGCAAAATCAATCCTAGGCAATAAAAACAAAATAAGAGGTATCGATCTGCCAGACTTCAAACTATACTGCAAGGCTATAGTCATTAAAACAGCTTTTTACTGGCACAAGAACAGGGACATTGACCAGTGGAACAGAACAGAGAACCCAGATATAAAACCATCCTCATATAGCCAACTGATCTTTGACAAAGCAGCCAGAAACATACACTGGGGAAAAGAATCCTTATTCAATAAATGGTGCTGGGAAAACTGGATAGCCACATGTAGAAGACTGAAACAAGACCCACACCTTTCACCGTTCACAAAAATCAATTCGCGCTGGGTAACAGACTTGAAACTTAGGTGTGAAACTATTAGAATCCTAGAGGAAAATGTTGGAAATACTCTTCTAGACATTGGCCTAGGAAAAGAATTTATGAAGAAGACCCCCAAAGGCAATCACACCAGCAACAAAAATAAACACATAGGACCTGATCAAATTAAAAAGCTTCTGCACAGCCAAAGAAACTGTCAAGAGAGCAAACAGACAACCCACAGAATGGGAGAAAATTTTCACAAGCTACACATTTGATAAAGGGGCTGATAACTAGAATCTATTTAGAACTCAGGAAAAGCAGCCAGAAAAAAAATCAAACAACCCCATCAAAAAATGGGCAAAGGACATGAACAGAAACTTCTCAAAAGAAGACAGAATAATGGCCAACAAACATATGAAAAAGTGCTCAACATCTCTAATGCAAATCAAAACTACAATGAGATATCACTTAACTCCAGTGAGAATGGCCTTTATCACAAAGTCCCCAAACAATAAATGCTGGCATGGATGCGGAGAGAGAGGAACACTCCTACACTGCTGGTGGGACTGCAAACTAGTTCAAGCTCTGTGGAAAGCAATATGGAGATACCTCAAAGCGATACAAGTAGATCTACCATTTGATCCAGCAATTCCACTACTGGGCATCTACCCAAAAGATCAAAAGTCACTTTATGAAAAAGACGCGTACACTCATATGTTTATAGCAGCACAATTGCAAAGCTGTGGAAACAACCCAACTGCCCATCAATTCATGAGTGGATTAATAAAATGTGGTATATGCATACCATGGAGTACTACTCAGCTTTAAGAAACAATGGTGATATAGCACCTCTTGTATATTCCTGGACAGAGCTGAAACCCATTCTACTAAGTGAAGTATCTCAAGAATGGAAAAACAAGCACCACATGTACTCACCAGCAAATTGGTATCAACTGATCAACACCTAAGTGGACATATAGGAATAACATTTATCTGGCGTCGGGCAGGTGGGAAGGGGGAGGAGGGGATGGGTATATACAAACACGAGTAAGAGGTGCAAGTTTGGGGAGTGACACGCTAAGCTCTGACTCGAGGGGTGAGGGGGGACATGGACAATATACATAACTTTAACACTTGTACCCCCATAATACGCTAAAATAAAAAAAAATTTTAAAAAGTAGTGAGCAAAGTAGACAAAAAAAAGTTTAACATTGTGACTACATATTTCCCCTATTGTTTTAAATAATTGCATAATGTTCTACTGAGTAGATACATTGTAACTCACAAAACTAATATCAATTGTTGAACATTTAGGTTGCTTTCATTAAAAAAAATTATTAGCTGTATGTGTGTTAGGCAATCCATACATCTGTTGGAAACATGTAATTGAATTAAAAGCCAGACATTCTCTTTACCTTTCTTTCTGAGGTTTGTGCATATCCAAGCCTAGGTCAGGAGACTTTTCAGTGTGCTGGACTGCAGGGAGGGCGCAAGGTCTGCAGAACCAGGAGAAAGTGACAAGGAGAAGGGGATGAAGTCTCCAAGAGACAAGTGTAATGACCTCAGCTTCAGGGATTCCTAATGCCGAGTCCTTGGTGGGGCGACCAACCATCTCTGTGTTCCTAGGGTTTCCTGGGTGGCCAGATTTTCAGTGCTAAAATTAGGAACGTGTCTGGGAAACCAGGATAAGTTGGTCACCCTTGACCTTGGCATGGAGAAAGTAAAGGAACTGAGATGGGAATGAATCATTTATAGAACTCAGCCCTGTGCCATAAAAGCAGCAATTCAGAGAAAGCCTGCTCACACACTGCAACGAAACCCTCACCCCTTATGTGGGACTCAAAATAGATATTTATCTCAGGTTATTGCTGTGCTCACAGAAAAACCCATTCATTCATGTCTTCAATAAATATGTATGGAACACCAGGCATTATTCTAGGCACAAGCAAGACATTTCTCCTGCTCCTTCTGTTACTGGTGCGTGTGTGTATTGGGGGAGGGAAAGAGGATTAATGGAAACACATGAAATAAACAAGGATGGACATGATACATGCGGTGGCAGAAATAAGATGGATTGATGGAATAGAAACTGCTGGCAGTGGGCTGCCATTGGCTTGGTGGTCAGAGAAGGTCACTCCGAAGACCTGGCACTTGAGGCAGACCAGTGATGAGAGGAGTGGCCAAGTGAGGAGGCAAAGAAGCATCAGGGTAGAAGGGACAGCTTTGTGAGGACCGGAGTGGAAACCAGTCGGTCTCTCTGGGGGAACTCAGTGAAGGCCCCTGTGGCTGTTTGCAGGGAGGGAAGCTGGCCTAGAGGCGGTGGTAGCAGTGACCCACTCCAAGCTCTGTTTAAATTACCAAAGGCGATAAGGCAGCTGAGACCCACAGGTCTTGCCCATAGTTTCTTGATTCCTATTCCAGCGCCCTTAGGCCACGCTGCCTTCCCTGGCTATTTGACTTAACTTAATTTTCTACCCTTGTACAGTTGGAAGTAAATTAAAGCGGTACTTGAAAGAAATTGGGATTGGAATTGTTTATGGACGGACACAACGACCAAAAACATTGGCCTCAAGGTGAAGAGAGGAAGTTTGGGGTCCAGATTGACCTCCGCCCCAGTTGTGGGGCCCACAGTAAGGTTCTAGAAAGGCTTCCAGACCGGCAAGCGAGGACGCATCCATATTCCACAGTCTGCAGGAACCGAAAATGAAACCGGTCATAAGTTGGGCAGCCCCGACAGACCTTTCACCTGTCACTGAGCTTCTGCAAGTTCAGCACCTGGGTGCTACAGGTTGAAGAAATAAATGGCCCTGAGAGTTTAAGGCAGGCACACCTTCAGGCATGCCAAGCATCAACGGTGGAGGGAGCTGGTTTGCGAGCCTCAGCTGTGGCTGATCTTGATAACTCAAACAGTTAACACATCCCAAACTAGCGCAGGGGTGGGGAGAGAGACCACACCCCGCGGCAGGCAGCGCGGAGCCAACTCCGGGGAGCAGAATCCTATTGGCATCGGGGAGGGAGGGAAGCCAGCCTCTGGGCGCGGCCTGCAGGGGGCAGAAGACCGCCCGGGGACGCGGGGGCAGCACCAAGCCGGTGTCCGCCCGGCAGCCGCCCGCAGCTGCAGAGAGCCCGCGCCGCGCCTCCGCCCGGTGCGCCCTGCTCGGCCCGCGGACCCCGCGCTGCGCCCCGCCGCCGGCATGTGCGCCGCCCAGATGCCACCCCTGGCGCACATCTTCCGAGGGACGTTCGTCCACTCCACCTGGACCTGCCCCATGGAGGTGCTGCGGGATCACCTGCTGGGCGTGAGCGACAGCGGCAAAGTAAGCGGGCGCAGGCTGCGCGCACCCCGACGGGCGGGCAGGTGGAAGGGACCCGGCGCGGCGCGCTGCGGGGTCCCGGGCTCGCTCGGTGCGGAGCGGGCGCCGCGGCCTGGGAGTGGAGCTTCGGGCTCTTGGGGACGCAAAGACAAGCCTGGCGCTAGGCTCGTGGGCTGGCTCGGGAGTAACGAGTTCCCAGCAGCCGGGAGCGGTGGAGTACTCACACCACTACTGGTTCGACAGCCGTCCCGGCTGCGGTGCAAGGTGCAAAGCGGGGAGCAAGGAGATCTGTTCTCGCTCCTCTTAACTCACCAGTAGAAACCCGAACCTTGCTACATTTATCTTGGTATTTCCTGCGCCTGGCACAGTGCCTGGCACAGGCTAGGCGCTCCTTAGATCTGGCTGAATTTATTGTGAAAGAAATAACAGGAGGAAGGGTCATTTGATCAGTGTTGTTTGATCAGTGCGTCCAGGACGTAGCATAAAAAGAACTGATTTCATTCACCCAATAATTCATCGGAGACAATTACTGATGATACAGTCTCAACAACTCATAATACTAGAAGGGATAGTCTGAAAGAAATTATTCAGCCATATCTCTCTCTGTCTCTGTCTCTCTGTCTCTGTCTCTGTCTCTGTCTCTCTCTCTCTCACACTCACACCCCATAGCTGTTTGCATCAAAGCAAGCAGTTCCATTTTAAGGTTCAAAATGTCTTCTATGAATGTGTCTTCTATACTCGCTTTTCCAAAATCAGGATTTCTACAAATGATACAGGTAACCTGATGTTTAATATTTACTGTTCCATATACGCAGGTAGTGGCTATATCAGCAATGGCTCGGCCAGCGTGATAAGTGAAGCCGTTTCATTTTTAGACGAAAAAAATAAAATATAGGGATGGGATATTTTTGAGCTGTTTTCCAGCGACCTGTTTAGTTAGGGGAAAAAAAAAGTACACATGTTATTTGTCGGGTTGAAGATACTATTTTTGACTAAAGATATTACCGAGTCAGTGACTGTTTTGCATCGTGACTCTTACATTTGGGGGTAACTACACCCTGTTTTCTTATGGTACTTAAAAACATTCTGTGCACATTCAGGGAGGCTGCTGTTGTGTTTCCAAGGTGACAAAACTCTCAGAGCTTTCCCAAATGGGGAGATTCCAATAAACCCTGAAACTGATGAATCCATGCATGGGGACCTGGCCCTCAAATTTCAGGGAACTCTCAGGTTTGGGACAAGTCCCAAGAAGCAAAGGAAGAGAGACTGCTAAACTTGTGAAAGATCGCAGGTGTTAGTTTAATCATAAGGAGCTGTTCAAGTCTTAGTTTGTTTTTTTTTTCTTTCAAAAATTAATTTCCTATATCCAGAATTTTAATTGGTAGGGTAGGGTAGCGGTAAGAGAGTGGGTTGGGGGACTGGCTTTAGCCAGTGGAGAGGAGTAAGAAAAGGAAGTGATTTATCTAGAAAATTACCTTTTCTGGGGTTGTACAGAAAAAGAATAAAAGAGCGTCCTGAACATGCAATTAGTTGAGTCAGGGAGTCTATTCCTAAGGAAGGATCACACTGAAATTATAAATTTAGAAAACATGCCATTCCCCCACCAGATAAAATTCCTTAGGAATTGAATACAAAAACGAGTTGATCAAGTGGCTTAGATATATGGTGTAGAACTCCCTAGTTAGTGAATTGGTGACTGTTGCTCTCTTACGAGATGCAAGGCATTTGATTTAAACACACTCTGGCTGTGTTTAAAGAGAGGGCGTGCCATGTATATCTCAAGACTTGATTTCCCTCATTTTAAAATGGGAATGTCTCACCTTTAGAGGTGCTGGGATAAATATTTTTATTTAAAAACTTTCAATGTTCAAAAAAAGAAAATAATATCCCTTTGAAATAAATGAATATGTTGAATCATTGTGATCTTTAAATTTTTAACAGGGCTCCTAAAGCTGTTCTCAAACCTTGGGATGAATCAGAAACATTAAGGGGTGTTTGATAATATGCTGATTTCTGGGGATCATCCTCAGAGAATGGGAATCTGCAAGCCTGGAGTGGGCCCCAATAAGTGGTGTTTCAACAAGCATTCTAGGAGATTCAGACACACATAGTGGGTGGATTACATTTTGAAGTAATTGTAGCACATAGTTTCTGTGATGGGACCAGAAGAGAAGTGTCAGGAGTTTATTTGTCCACTTCAAGCCCAGATCTGGGGCAGCATCTCAGAGAGACGGAACATACCTTCCTCTCCTCCTCCTCCTCTCTCCTAGACCTCCTTCCTCATTACACATAACTTCATTTATGCCCAGAGAATGGTAATGACTAACTGCTTTTAATACATTAAATTAAAGCTCATTTAAAGTCGGGTTATTTTAGAAAAATATCCTCTACCCAACATTTTGGTATTGAGCAAAATTCAGAGTTAGTTTTTCTACCCAAGTGGCAGGTAGCTTTTTAAAATAAAGCCTATAACATGTTTAATTCATTTGCAAATAGTTAGCTTTGAGACACTGCGTGCTCAAATCTTACTAAATTGCCTGATTCCTCCCACATACAGCAGGGTCAGATTGACTTTTAAGGTACATAAAGATGCCTTGGGACTTTTAATGCACACGTACGCAGCAACAAGAGCGAGGAAGAGAATCGTTTTGAAGGTAGTGCCCTGAGGTGACAGAAGCAAGTCCCATAGAGAAATAGAGACCTGGGTTCAGGTCAGAGTCTCCACCACTTACCTATTCCGAGACCACAGGTGAGACCTAACCTCACAGAGCCTACAATTCCTTATCTATAGAATCAGATTACCTTTTGCTATGTATTAAGGAAATAATGTATGAAAATACCTGATACTCAGTGGATACTTAACATGTACCATGTTCATTCTGTCCCCTTCCTTCTCTTTGCCCCTGACATATTCTTAACCCCTTGCTCATGGTGGTAGCACTGTTGCATGTTTTCACTTGGTGGCACCCAAGTACACCAAGCGGTGGAAAAGGAAGCCACAGCCTGTGATAAACTGTCTGGGGTGGTTGCTGGACCTCAGATGTGTGTCCTCACTGCTTATGTCATTGATCTACTAACATACAAAGATGAATCTGGAAAGGAAGGATCTAAGGGGCATTTGCTGGTAGGTTTGCTAACACATTGTTTTCAGTGTCTTTTTTAGTCTTCACAATGTCATTATTCCCATTTACAGTTAAGGAAGTTGAGACTTGAGAAATCATGCTTGCATCTAGATTTGGTGGTGGTGTACTAGAATTTGAGTTAATATGGGCCAAAGACCATATTCTCTTTCTTATAGCTGCATGCTTCCCTGGGGCACAGTTTTTTTTTTATTTCTGCATATTATGGGGGTATAAATGTTTAGATTATATATGTTGCATTGCCCCCTTCCCCGAGGGACACAGTCTTTGACCTTAAAGAACTTGCATGTTAGCAAGGGATCTGAGACTTGTAGCCATAATAAAAGTGGACTCATTCCTGAGCAACCACTGGGCTCATCGCCGGAGGTAAATTGATGAACGAGGCATACAAACTCTGCCCTGCCCTTGTGAGGTTGATCATTTAGTGATACATTAACAGAATCTGCTATGACCTATGATAACTTGAACTAGAGGGTGGAGGGAAGGCTTTCCCCAGTGTCAAGTGACATTTAAACTGTCATCTGGGCTGGGAATGGTGGCTCACACCTGTAATCTTAGCATTGTGAGAGGCCGAGGTGGGAGGATTGCTTGAGGTCAGGAGTTTAAGATCAGCCTGAACAAGAGTGAGATCTCATCTCTACTAAAAATAGGAAAAAAAAAAAGTTAGGCAACTAAAAATAGAAAGAGTTAGCTGGGTGTGGTGTCCCATGCCTGTAGTCCCAGCTACTCAGGAGGCTGAGGCAAGAGGATTGCTTGAGCCCAGGAGTTTGAGGTTGCTGTGAGCTAGGCTGACACCATGCATGGCACTCTAGCCTAGGCAACAGAGCAAGATTCTGTCTCAAAACAAACAGAAAAACTCCTAAGAGTACCTCTATCACTTACTACCTATGTGAATTTGATCAAGTTACTTAACATTTCTATTTTCAAGTTTCCTTATGCATAAAATAATTGCTATGGTCTGCCTTATGGGGTTGTTGAAAGGATTACATGCATTAATCGGTATAAAACATACGAATAATGCATCTGGCATGTGGTACATGTCTAATAGATATCAGTAGTTATTGCCAGCCATGGAGATGGAGAGAGGTGGACAGAATCAGTAGCCATTTAGATCAAGCCACCTGGATTCAATGATAGCTTATGTGTGCAGACTTAGAAGGTGAACACATCCAGAGTGACGGCCAGGTGTATGTAAACAGTGCAATGGGGCACACCTTGCCCAGTGATGAAAAAGCCTTTTGAAGGAAGTGGTAATTGAACTGTCCCTTAAAGACTAGTTAGGACTTGAACATGCACAAAAGGATTAAGTCACCCTGGGAAAGGGAATTAGCTAATTTTCTTTTATTCCCAAGACTGCTGGGAGGAGAGAGAGTTCTATCTCGCCTGAGACTGCTTCACCAGAAGCTCTCTCAATCTGAACCACAAATCCTAGTGTTCTGTAAAATCCCTTCCTCTTGCTTGGGAGGGTGAAGACCCATCTTCTGGCCAAGCTTAGGAACTCGGAATATTCTCCTGGTAGCCATGACGTCCTTATTAACACATCCTGAATTTGACTAGCCTGTAATTATACTCAGCCCATGAGTATGTTATGGTGTAAGCCGTTCATGGCATTCCTATTTCCATTTACCAGATACTTACTTTGCCAGCTTCCTGGTAGCTGAGGGTAGCCAGTGAATAACATGCTGGCACATAGGAGGTCTGTTCAGAAGCTTCTGGCATGTGGGAAGAGAGGCCCTTCCTTTTTGGATGCTCTCATGGGAAGAAAGGATACCTGAGTTGCTGCTGCCACCATTTGAGACTATGAGGAAAGGTTAAGAGGATTTCATAGACACCAACCCAGTCTCTCACATCACTGGAGCAATT